TTGCAACCCATCACCTCCTAGACATTACTCTCTATTCCCCTCCATCTCCACCTAACTCAGAGCCCTACATCCACTTTTGTCTTTCTTCACTCAACACGCACATCCAATGGCTTCTTCTTGCCCTTAGGATTAACAACAGAACCCTGACAAGGCCTTGAATCATCTGACCCCACTAGCCACTCTGGTTCTGGTCTCACCCCCTACACACCTCTTGTGCTCCAAATTCTAGTGACAGTGGCCTGTCAATCCCTAAGGTCCCTTGCCTAAACTATTGGTCTCTCCTCCTTCCTCTGGCTGATGCCTTCTCATCCCTCAAGTCTCAAATCTTTCTTCCTCAATAAGGACTTACCTGAGTCCTCAGAAAAGATTATTCTATCATCGTCCCAAATCACTTCCCTAACCACAGCTATTAAATGACTGCATAACTAGGTACCTACTGTGGCTTCCTGCTACTAACATATAAGCCGCATGAGGTCGGGGACATCTGCCTTGTCGGTGCTGTTTTCCCAACGCCCAGCATAGTTTTAAACACAAAATAGGTACTTGATAAATATTTGCTGAATGAAATATACAAGTCAAGGTAAATTTGCCTGTGTGTTCTCATCTGAACATGTTTCCTTTGGTTTTTTGCCTTAAATTCTTATCAGATGAAATACGGACTCCAACTCTCCTTTATCGACTGGCCCTCCAACTGGCCAGTTTCCTGGGGGTGGCAATCCACAGAATTGTTCGCAACTACCATCTCTCGTCTCCATCCAGGTAACAGCTCAATTATTCTTCCATCTCCTGCAGAGACCAAAGAACATGAACTTTAAAAGTTTGTACCTTTAGCTATTTCTGCTTGAATTACTCCTTGTCCTGTAGGAGAGCAGATGGTTACAGTATCAGTCATATGCCTTCTGAATTGCCTTAAATAAGAATCGTTAAACCACTACTTCACACACTGACTTCATCTCTTCCTAGACTTTGATCAAAGATAATCTATCTTCTCAGTGAAACCTTCTCTGGCTTGCAGATCTAAAATCTCAATTCCCCTTCTTCTCCTCACCTCACGTCTCCCTTTCCTGCTTTATTTTTTCTTTTTAGAACTTACCAGTGAACACTATTTTATTTACCACGTTTGGTGTCTCTCCATCAACCACAACCAAAGATCTCAAGGGAAAAGAATTTTTGTTTCATCCACTGTTTATTCTCAGCCAGACATCTAACAGGCCCTCAAATATTAGTCTAATGAATGAACAAACCGATACTGCTCAGGGCCAGGAAAAATACGAATATTCAGAAACACAGGAGCAGAGTCTGTATTTTAAAGTCTCCTTCATTCTGAGTTCCTGCTTCTCCGCCCTCCCAAACTGATCAGATGCACCTAATCAGGTAGGAGCCAAACACGCTAAACCACGTTGTAGCCTCACTTTCCACGAAGACAAGAACTGTGGCTCTCGCTCTACTGCCCGGTACGCAAGTGCCGCGTGGTGACCAACGGTGCTGCTGGAGCCCTGTGTGTCTGGTACGAAGCTTGACTTGCAGTGAGCACTCCATAAAGGTTTGGTGAGAAGAACTGAATGAGCAAGTTAGTATTAATTAGCTTACAGTCTAAGCTGTTGTAACAAAAAACAGCCACGTGCGCCTCTCAAGTTTCTTTCTCTCAGTAATCTTCCAGGGCTAGCACAGCACTGTCACCTTCGTCCCTCAGGTTCCATGTTCACTTCAAGGTGGCTACTCTAGTTCCTGCCATCACATCTGCATCCCAGCCATTGAGAAGGGGAAAGGTGCAAGGAATATATTCCTCTTCTAGGCACAATGCAGAAGTGGCACCTATCACTCCTGCTTCCACCCTATTGACCAGGACTTAGTCACGTGACCATACCTAGCTGAAAGGGAAGCTGGGAAATGTGGTGTCCAGCTGGACACTGGTGTCCGGGGTAACTAAGGAAAGGGAGAATGAGTAAACTTCTAACGGTTTATTAAACAGACAAAAGGAAAGGATCTTCTTTTCCTTTTCATATGAACATCTTCTTGGCAGCCTTTTTATTTCTACATTACTATGATAAAATCAAACTACAAGGTTCTAAAACCCCCACCTCTACAAGCTCTAAAATAAAAAGTACACCACCCTTCTGGATTATTCTCTTATCAAACACATCAAGGGAACCATGCCCTTTCTACTTTCTCTGGGAAAATATTAAATGTCAGCAGGTTAAAACTACAACTTGACTGTTAATTTTATAGGTTCTCTAAGCAGTAATTCCAGGAACCTGGTAACTTTGGGGCAAAGGTCCAACATTCAAAGAGAAAGAACAGGTACCAGTGCTCTAAGTTCTTAGCTGAGTTTCCCCTTTCTTCTGTCATGAGGCATGCAACAAAGAGATACAATAAAATGCTGAGCTAGAATCAATTCAACTAAGCATTATCTTATTGTTTAAAATGTAAATTCCAGTATTAAAAACAATCACACCTTGCTTTAGTATTCTCATTCATTCAACAAACACTGGCGTGCTTACTTACGATATATTGAGAACTGCTCTAGCAGTGGGAACACAGATGTGATCTCGCATAGCTTACATGTGATGAGAGGAGATGGACATTAATAGCAGGGTAAGGAAATCAAGTATATAGTATGTTGGGTGGTCATAAATACTATGGAGAACGAAAAGCTTTCTTGGATATACAGAATTCAAGAAACACTTTGGAAGCAAACCAATTTCTCTGAGAACCCTGTCAAAAAAAGAAGCTAGAGGCCGGGCACGGTGGCTCACACCTGTAATCCTAGCTCTTGGGAGGCCGAGGCGGGCGGATCCCTCAAGGTCAGGAGTTCAAAAACCAGCCTGAGCAAGAGCGAGACCCCGTCTCTACTATAAATAGAAAGAAATTAATTGGCCAACTGATATATATATATATAAAAAATTAGCCGGGCATGGGCGCATGCCTGTAGTCCCAGCTACTCGGGAGGCTGAGGCAGAGGGATCGCTCGAGCCCAGGAGTTTGAGGTTGCTGTGAGCTATGACTTTTTAAAAGATGGTCCCTGATAACCTGATTCTAATCATCAAAGTCAATTTGTCCCTAGCTGGTAGAAAAAAAAAAAAAAAAAAAAAAGAAGCTAGAGCTCCATCCATAGTCAGCAAAATAATGTGTCAAAGAAAGCAGAGCATCAATGCAGTTACAAGGGCAATCATAAACATTTAGTGGTTGGCTATTGCTTTTTGGATTTTAGTTTATACATTCCTGTATTGTTGACAACCTCTGCATTTTTGTCAGATAAATGTATTATTTAAAATGAGATAATGGGGGAGGGATTTATTAGATGGGGAAGGGGTAAGAGATTAAGACAAAATATAAGAAGCTTTTCAATATCCATCTCCAAACACCCATAAACTGCCTCAGGATACACCTCTAAGAGGCACCACCCACTTGATACAATATGGATAATACAAGAATTTTAACCACCAGCCTTAATCTCCCTTCCCACCTCCCATCCAACATGCTTTAACATGGAAATGGTTAAGCAAAGTGCCAAAAGCTCTTCTTTAAATTTTCCACATAGTCCCACTCTTTTTAAAAATACAACAAAAAAGTGATTTAGATAGAACACAAGATTTTTTGTTTTTGCAAAAAGTTTATTAAAGATACACTTACAAATTCAATAATAATCAAAGTAACATTTAAAATGTTAAATGGGAGAGGGGCTTTTTAAAATGCTTCTTTTAACCGCGCACTATAGAGCTCTAAATAAGTACTTTCTTACAAGTACTGCCCAGCCTGCTGACAGCCTTCTTATAAATGTTATAAAACATAATGAACTGCATCAAAACTGCTATAACATATAATAGTATTAGCCATTGTCTCCGCTCTTCATCATCTGAACTGTTTTGGCTACAGCAATTTGAAAACTATCTTAAATCTGAAAGAAGTCAACAGCTTCTCAGTGTTAACTGAAGGCCTTTTGCTAGGACTAAGGTGAATTTTTCAAAATAGCTTCTATAACAGCCAGTGAAGTTGTTTAAAAATGCCTTACTAAAATGCCTCTTAAATAAAAACAGAGGAAGGAACTGATTCACAGAAATGGATTCTTTTAAGGAAGTCTTTTCTCTAAAGAGAAAAATAAGAGCTTTTCTATTTATTCTTTTGGGTTAGAATACTTAGTTTTGGTTTTTCTACTTTTCTAGCCAGGGCACCATCACTGCCTAATTTAGAAGGGGTTTTTTGCACTTCTTATATATGCAATTCAGAGGGTGGAAAAGTTGTATACCACGGTGGCAATGATAAAAAGTGAGTCTGTGATTTAAATTTTTTTCAAAAAAGGAGAAGACAAAAAATGTGTTAAAATATGGCAAATTCACAAAGAGGATAATCAAAGGTTGATCTACCAACATCATGTAGCATCAGAAATAATTACTCTGAATCAAAAAATTAGTAGAAATGTAAACGATAATAGTAATTTAAAAATATGAGTTCTCATATGCTAGGTATTGTTCTAAGTACTATATTTACATCATTTCACCAATAATCTCCCCCCAAATCCTATGAAGCAGACTTTTACTTTACAGATCAGGAAACTGAGACACAGAGCAGTTAAGCAACTTGTCTAAGGGCACACAACTATGAGGCCCAGGACTCAAACTCAGCCAGGGAGGCTACAGAACCAGTCTGTTAAGAGCTATCCACCTATTCTAGCTCCCGATCACCTAGTCAAGCTCCCTCATTTATAGACAGTGGGATCTAGAGACGGGAAATTGGTGGTTAAACTCAAAAACCCCAGACTCTAGGCCCAAAACAAATAAAAAAAACATTTCCTGTACAAACAGAATGGAAAAAATATTGACCGTTCTGAGCAAACCCTATGCTGAGTGGAAAGGCATGGTATATTCATTTACTATCACTAGCTCAAAACAGACTGATTACTCAGCAGGTCACAGCAACTGATCATCTCATCCCTTGTTTTTAAACTTCACTTGATGAAAACGTAAGTCTAAACAGAGTACAAAAAAAAGAGACACATTAAACAGGTTTTGAGGTTTATTAAAATAAAGTATTAGCAAACAATATGCAAAAACAAAGTTCTTAAGAGTTATGGCTTTAAAAAGCACAATATAGTAAAACCTAATACATTTTATAAGTATCAAAAAGATAACAGAATTGAAGCATGTTGCTAGAATTTCATTTTCTACAACATAAACAGAAGTAGAACAAGTACAAATAAGAAGCAGACCTATAGTGCAGCCGTTGGCTTGGTCTTTATCATCTGCATATGAAATATTTTTAAGAGAATATGGGCAAGTAAATACAAACATGATTATAATCCTCTCCAATTTTAAAACTGTGTGAATTTCAAAATGCAACTTTAACCAACCATGTTAAAAAGAAAATCACTTGCCCGACCATTATCCTCAAGAGTCCCCACAGTTAAAATACTTTATGAATAAATCAAAGCAGCAGCATCTCCAATGGGATTAGAAAGGAAAATCTGACCCTAAAAAATTTCTGTTTCACAAAGAACTTGGGATTATTTGGCCTCACTGGAGTTTGTCATGGCTAACACCAGCATGTAGTAAGAAGGCACTAACTATTAATGGATGAAAAAAATCTACCTGTACACAAAATTACGAACTTTTAAAAAACCCTCATCTTTTAATAAATCCTTAAAGAATAAAGGTTTATGATGATTTTAAGAATTTTAAGAGCTGAGTTATTTAGACAAGAACCACACAAACCCTTTTTACTCTGCCAGGAATGACCAAAGAAACCTGCTCTAGGACTGGATCTTTTCAGTGAAATAACTTATCACTTGTTTTACAGCAACTACTACAGCAAATTCCAGCAAGCTTTCTTACTTAAACACAAACACAAAATCAATGTGTGAGACCCTTCCATGGGTTTTGGTAAACCATCCAATTTCAGGATGTTACTTCAATTATAATACAATTGTTTTTTAGGAGATAAGATTCCATTATGAATAATCCAATATAACAAAGGCTTGATAAATACTACCTCCTGTAATCAGGATATACGAAACTGTAATCCAGTGAATTCCAAAGAACTGTCCAAGTTTCTGTCCCGCAAGTATAATTCTTTGTTTATGCAGAAGAAATGCCTTGAATTTGATACATGCATCTTCTGTGATAAGAAAAACTCCCAAGAATGTCACCTGTAACTGTGAGGAAAATGCTGCTGCTCTGGGGGAAATAGGCATCAAACCTGAGATTATCCCTTAAAAAGCTGCCCTAATAATGTCTGAGACCACCTACAGACCACCACTTAGGAAAGCTCTCTCCCATAAAAATCATCAAACACTTCTAAAACCATCAGATTATCTACTACCTTAAAAGATACCTGCTTATCTATAGCTGATGGGTATATGATGACACATTTATATTTATACATTCAGACACTGAGGATTTAACTAATAAGATAAGGGCTTTAACCCTCTTAAAAGTTAATAGATACAAAAGTCATCACTGAAGGCTGAACTCAATGACCATCAAGATTCTTCCTTCCTTGGAAAGTAAAAAGGGTGTTAATATATTTTGAGTGGGAAAGGTGATAATGATCCAAAGTTCTATTAAGTAAATGACTAGAAAAAGTTTAGAAATGACTCTAAAGTGGCATATTAGATGCTCCCTATAACAGAAGTACAGCACTTTAACAGCTACTATCAAACTTTTTAGAGTTTCTCTGCTGTTGGATTTCATTTTTTGTACAAACTTTCTCTTCCAACAGAACACTACTACAGAGGAAGAAACTGTTTCCCACAGGTACCCTTAGGTAAGATGGAAGGTTTTATAACATGAGTATCAGTTCTTATCTTGGCAACAGATTTCACATCTGAATATTTATTGATCACTTTATATCCTAAAAGAATGTCTTACTATCAAATGTCATGAAAAGTACAAAACAGCTGTATCTTCTTTCTGTACTATTAGATGTGCCTTAATGAACTATCTGGTAATCTTACTCTGGATTTCACCACAGAAACCTAGCCAATTCTATTACCACAGTTTTCTTACATAGCAACAATAAAATGTGAAAAATGATTTACAGTCTTGACACATATAGGTGACATTTTGAAGGATGTCTTCCTTGAATTCTCTCTCTAAAAAAAGGTGTCCATTTCAGTAGATCAATAACATGCCACTAATTTACATTCCATAATGTTAGCCAGGCAACACCAACATGACCATAATAATAATACTCTTTCATGCAGAAATGTTAGGCAAATGTACCTCTTATATCCTGCTTTTATCCAATCAACATCTTTTTGCTGCTTTAATTCATTACTGAGATTTGATTCTATCCTGCTTTTTGCATTGACCAAATTGGTTGCCATTTTATTGTTTTTAGATTTTGTCTTTTCAACTGGCATAAATTAACATGTTGTACATGCTATAATACATGATTATTCTTATGGTGCTGATGTTTTCAAAACTTTTACTATAAAACATTCTGTAAAATAAATAAAAACTTAGAACTATAACTTTCCGAAGTGGTTTTGTTCAGAGGTGCTTTCTTTTCACTGGCCAGAATTTTAGTGTTTTGTTTTGCTTTTCTAAATCTTACTATCAAATTTTATTTCGTGTATATATATATATAGATATATGGGCATACTTAGGGATTATAACAGAAGCAAGACTGTATTTTCATTTAAAGTCAAAGGGTCTGGAGTTGATGGTTTTTAGGAAATACTGCAGGCGTATACTTCTTTACGAAACTTTTAATGGTTAATAGCGTGTTAGTGCTATCACCCATGAGACACAATGACTTAGAGAAAACAAAGAAAAGGCTAATCACATAACATCTTGCTAATTCTAAAGGCTGTGACATGATGACCCCAAATAAAAACAATTTTTAATTAACTCTCACTTGAACACACCAATAAGACAATAGTCTCCACTAGTTTACTACGGCCCACTGAAGTTGATTACATGTACTTGTCGTTTAACGGAAGTGATTTTTTTTCCTACAAATTTGTTCCCATGATTGTGCCATGAGCCTGGTAAATTAAAGAATGACCAAAATACCTAAGTTGAGTCATTAAGACAATAGTTCTTTTTCATGTGGCTGACACAACTCTGGAAGACTCAGAACGCATGTTGTGTGACACTTACGTTTAAGGCTGAGGTGACTGTCAGAGTATCTCTTTTACCCAGCAAAGAACGGTGAGCTGAAACACACAAGTGGCACTTCATCTGAAAGAACTCAAACCATCCATTGGCTGCACATTGACAAAGCAATAAATAATGACACATACAACAAAAGGAACTGTATAATCCTTTCCTTAAAAAATGCACTTTTTTTCCTCATAAAAACAGAAAGGGCAAAGTGGAAAGTCAAATCACACTAACATTTTAAACAGAAGAATGACATGGCTCCATATACTTTCAAAAGGCACCAGAAAATAAGGTTTCTGCTGATAGGTAAATTAGATTCATATTTTTTTTTTTTAAATAATTTCTTCATCCTCATGTCAAAACTAAGTGTCCATTTGGCTGCTCCCTAGAAAAACTAGTCGAGAGTCCTTTACGTAAAGTCAAAGGTATGATTGATTAAACATATGTTTCAGAGTTTTCATGTCTTTCCTCTCTGTAGATTGTATTCTGGGAGACTAGCATCCATGGAGATACTAAAAAAATGGAAAAAGAGCATCGATGACAAGTAAGAAAACAGTCTGCATTCTTTGATGCATGAATGTTTAAAGATCAGCTATCCCGACATCCACTCCTGAAGTATCAGACCAGTAGCCTCATCCTTGGGGCCCAGCTAGAGAGCACCTATGGCTACCGTGCATGGGTCCTTGCATAGGGAGGTTGATGCAAGTAAGAGCAACGGGATTAAGCACGTGATTTGCCAACATTAACACCACCCATAAAACTACAGAGAATTTAAAAGGCACCTTGAGTTGGAGCTATAGAATAACAGTCTTATAATCTAGGCTTAAAATAAAACAAAAACTAGAAAAGCACAACTTCCTACAACTGTAATCTATGAACTGCAGTGTTTGTTAATATAAAAGGGGTACCAAGGAAGTAAGGTAAGCATCTAAATCCAAGTCACTTGAGTGTGTTTTACCAAAGGTTATGCTAAAAACTGTCACCCATAAAAGTGCAAAATAAAAGATTAATGCATGTCAAAATTAGAGTTCTTGCAACATTGTCCAAAAGCAGCAAACATAGCCAGTCAAACAAGGCCGTGCACATACTGTCATTAGCTATAAAGTAGTACTTATGACAAATTTTGAGTAAATGACATACTTGAGATCAGTTATTTGCAATAAGTTTTTTAAAAAGGAAATGTTTTACAAAAGATATATATAGCATGAAGTCACATTACACTGACAAACATTTATCTGTATTAAATGTAAATTTTATGATGTTACCTAGAAAACTATCATTTTGCTTTTACTGAACACTACTTGTTAGAGCAGTGCATAGTGTTCCTTCAAATAAAAGATTTTTTTTTATAGTTTCTTTTAGACCCCTACCATACACTTTTGCAAAATAATGAATTATGCTTCTTTTTTTTAAGTTGGTGGGACAAAGAAACTGGTAAAAGTACAGCTTTGGGAAGATCAAGAACAGAGAATAGGAGGGAAGACTTACTTTTCACTGTATATACCCTCTTAAACACTATTATAATTTTTCATCATGTGACGCATTACTTTTCCAAAAAATTCAACAAATAAAAAATTGTTAGGACAATAAAGTAAAAGCACGTTCCAGTTTAAGATCAATACCAAATTTCTGAACTGGGACATAATACTTACTCTGCATCTTTCACAACACTTTTGAGAGTTAACCACATGAACATCAATACAAACAAATGTAGATTCATCACAAAATACAAATGTGTTGGTCACAATTATGTAGAAAAAAAATAAGCTGTAATATCTGTTTTCCATGTAAGCTCACAGTATCTGTACTCAAAGTTTCTCTAAAATTAAAACAAGTCCACTAACAATATAATTGAAAAGAATACTTCAGCACTATGAAACAGAAGATATGGGGTTCAGAGGGGAGCCCATCTGAGTGAGGACTTTATCCAGCCATTGAAGAGGCCCATGAAGATGAATTTCAATCCAGCATGGAGTGCTGGTCACATCCTGCCGGTGATATTCTGCTCCCCAGCCCTGTGAAAACGAACAGAGATCACAAAAACTCTCTCTTTAAATTGTCAACCAGTCGAAACCAATTTTACCATAAAACAAAAAGATACTTTAATAGTAGGGATACACAGAATGTTCTTGAAGGGAATAACTATCACAAAACCAATCTTAGCCCTACCGTGGAATTAAAAACAAGACAATAGCTGCATTTTTCAAAGATATATGAATTTTTAAATAACACATAATTCCCTTAATAGAAACTGTTAAGTCCAAATGTTTTAGGATTTTTTTAATTTTATAAAAGTAATAACAGTATAATATCTCATGATTAAAACATTAATATTTCTGTAGAGAAATACATTCTCACTTAATGAGATAAATAAAACCCACAAATCGCCTCATGTAAGTTCATGTCAGATTTTGTTACCAAAAATTTTTAATTTTCAAGTTACTTTTATTTTCCTGGATTTAAATTCTCTGTTTTATTTGTTATGGTACTCCTGGCCCACAGTGAGGAGTGGAGAAGATGGGGGAGTGGAGATCAGGAGATCAACAAAGCTGGACCGTGGTTCTGAATACCAAAAAGGAAAAACCCACACACAGCATTTAACATTTGCTCTTCTTGGACTAAATCCTTAAAGCCCATGTGGATATAGTACAGATTGCTTAAATGTGTGACTAAAATTATTTCCAACTTTTTTTCACAAACTGTAATCTTTGGAACGTCAACAAAATAAGGCCAAGAGAGCAAATGATAACCTTGAAAAGTTCTTTGAACTTTGCAAATCCTTAATAACAGAGTTTAGATACAAGTAAAATAATTTTAGTACTGTTAAGACTTCTGTTAAGCCACCCTAATGGAGTCTAATAATTATCAAAACTGTTAAAGCTAAAGAACTAAAGCAATCTTGCTTTAAATACTGCAACTTAAAGCAATAGTGATATTAAATTCTTTTAACTCAGCCCCTATTCAGTATCAAAATCAGTATCAATCATGAATTTTATAATATCTGGACTACAAAATGAAATCTTAGACCTATTATGTGGTTAAAATGATAAATTCAAGAATTTCATTTAAAAACCTATTAAACCAGGTCAAAAGTAATTATCACCGTTCATTTAACAAAGAATCCTTTTCTATTATAACCTAAAGACATAACATACATATTTACAGTTACTCATATTACTTCATAGGTCACAACCCACTCACCTTGACAAAACTCATGCGAATGGTACACATTTTGGTGAGCTCATACACTGCCTCAAACCCATGGTTGACAGACTGAGCCAGAAGCTGAGCAAACTCCTGATTGTTAAAAATTTTGAGGCTACAGCTGCTGGGAATCTTACAGACAGTAGTGGGATGAAAGCCATGATGAAAGTTGCAGTTCCTACTCTGGACAAATATGCTGCTGTCGCTGAGGCACTCCGCATACACCTCCCCGCCAACGTAGTACAGATGAACACCTTAAAAAGACAGGCATTAAGAGAGTCAGTTTAACAAAGCATTGTAATGAAACCAAAGAGGTTGTATGTTGCAACCAAAATATCCACTAATCCACAGCAAACTCCCAACAGCCTTTAGATAGAAGCTACCACTAGATGGCCTTCTGCTGCCAGAGATAAACAAGAGGTTAATGTCCGCCTAAAGCTAAAACGATCCTCAAATAACTGAGAGTAAAGCCTCAAGTTGGCAGCATATTAGGTACAGATTCTTGGGTTTTTTCCCCTTTTCCAACAATCCTTTATCATCTGAGAAAAAGAGGTAGCAAAACAAACAAACAAACAAAAATCACCTTTTGATGAGTCCTTTCAAATGAATGACTAGTGGTATCAACTATCATAGTCTTTGGCAGATTTTATACACTCACACCCCCCAAAGTTACATATATTATTTCAGGTCATAGGAAGAGCTTTTAAATAGCAGATTTATTTTACTTTCCTTTAAACTTTTTTTGATATTTAAAAAACATGTGTAAATAATACATGAAAACAGTTTCAATATTAAAATTCAAATTATATAATGAAAGCCGAAGTCATGAAGTATTTTCCCAACACATCCCCTCCATCAGCTCATTCGCTTTTCTTCTTCAGAGGCAGACATTGCTATCAGTTTGGTGTATATCCCTTTAATTACATATATATGTCCCTACATAACATTTTTCTGTGACTTTGTGTGTAAGTGCATATATGTGTGTTTGGTTTTGTTTTGTTTTTTAACACACTATTAACCAAAAACTTGCTCTTTTCACTGAACAGATGCTGGAGACTTTACTCCAAAATATAAATCTGCCACTGTATATATATTTTAAATGTGGCATATAATTCTAGAATGAACATACATAATTTAACTGTCTACTGATAGGCAACTTTACACTACTGCAAACAGTGCTTTTGAGCATCATCCCTCTATACAGATTCCTCTGCACATTGTGAGTCATAGACTTGTTTTGTTTCTGAGCAAATAAAAATAAGCCATGAAAGAAAATGTCTTAGAACTATATATACTGGGGGAAAAAGGGAAAATTGATTGTAGAATTTCAAAATTCACCAGAGTTTCCTTAAATTATTTCTATTTTAGTGTGTGTGTGTGGGGGGGAGAATCAATGTAGAAAAGTGAGGCATTTTATCTAAAAACAATCATGGCAAGGTGGCAGTAAAGTCAAAAGAGAATGAAAACTTTGTTTTCGACTTATTTTTGGCCATAGTATTTTCCTGAATCTCTTCTATAAGAAATCCTATCACAACTATATTTATTTACCTTTAGTTTCTATTTTGGACCAAGACTCACTCAAGTCAAAGAAGCAAAAAGAAACAAGGGATAAAAACAAAACTTCTCAAGAAACAGGCAATGCTCTCCACCTGGGATGGGTTTCCTTCCTGACCACTTGATGCATGAGTCTTTGACATTTCATTGCAGTGAGAAAAGTGCCTTGTTTGTTATGGCAACTATTATGGAGGATGAACTGTAAACAGAACCTTGTTACCTGAATTTAAAAGGGGGATGGTAAAGCCACTGAAGCCTTAATGTCATTTACGTTGAATTTCCTACTTCTAACTCTGCTCCTCCAATATCATGGCAATCCTTACAAGTCATCTCAACCTAAAATGCTCCACAAATACCATAATTACAACATTCTAATCTTTCACCAGCATTCAAATACACCATTCCACAAATATGTGCTGTGTATTTACTACGAGCCAGGCACTGTTCTAGCTACTGAGGACATTGTTATGAACAAGGGAAATTCCTGTACAGCTTATTCCAGTCAAGGTAACATTCAAAAAACAAAGAAAATAGTAATATGACTTCAGATCCTTAGCACAAGGAAGAAAGACTAAGCAGGATAAGGAAAACTTTGTTTCTTTATTTATGTCTTTATTTGATGAATACGTTCTTCGCTATCTGCAACTTAAGGCAGAGGCCACACTTCAAGCTTCTTTGTATGCTTCTGGCTACTTTCCAGAATGCATGGTACACAGCAAGTACAACAAAAGATTGAATTCAATTAAATACAGGGAAATGATATGATTACCTTTTCCAATATGTCGCCTAGTGTTTTCAATTGTCGAATTACGATTAACATTTGACAACAACCCCAAGCAGAATCTACTTTTGTTATTTGAAGGATCTGTGAATCCATCTACTAAAACACTAGTAGAAGATGCATGAAAAGCTTCCCCAACACGATTGTTTAATTCATAGTAGACAATTGAACACCAATGTTTGGGCTCTTCATAGGCAACAGGCTGAACATCTGTGAACAAACCAGACAGGAAAAAAACTTAATAAATGGGTATCAGAAAACCCAGACTTCTTTATGTGTTTCTTATTTACCCTTTAACCCAAACCAAGCACTACACGAAAAAGAAAATTTTCAGATATTTCACAAGTCTCACTGTCCTTCCTAGCTTTGAGTCTATAGTCAAAAAACAGACACTAGAAATAGACTTGAATATGATAATTTAAAAAATTATAGAAACACAAGGATAGGCAACTGTCTTAGTTTACTCAGATTGCTATAACAAAATACCTTAGACTGAGTCACTTAAACAACACAAATTTATTTCTGACAGTTCTGCAGGCTGGGTCCAAGGCACCAGCCTATTCTGTGGGGGCCACTTCCTCGCTTGCAGACAGCTGCCCTCTCACTGTGTGGTCACATGGCCTTTCCTCAGGGCATGCTCTTAGGAGAAAGATCCAACTCCCTTCATCTTCTTATAAGGAAAAACAGAGAAGAACCTATCTTTGTTATAAAGTGGCAAAGAATGTGGCTACATTATATTCGTGTTGTAGAGTTTTGTGGAAGGTAGAACTTGTCTTATAATTTCTGTCTTCTTATAATTTTATCTGTAAATACTCTGGTATATAGCTCTAAAAGATAAGGACCTTTTCTGTTATTGTTGAAGTATAATCACAATAATCTCATCATGAGGACATAATGCAGAACATAGCAGCAGCAACACAGTTTTATTTTTCTTTTTTAGCAGAAACTAATTTGAATTAAATTTGAGACACAACTTATTCAGCATTTTCAAAGACTTAACTCTATTAGTATCTGTAAAATTATTCTAACTAAAAAGATTAACTAAAAAAACTGAGATTCTCAGCAAACTGAGAATTAGTTTAGTGGAGAATTTCCTCAACTTGATACAGAACATCTATAGCTAACATCATTTCTCATCATTAATGGTGAGAAACTAAAAGGTTTCCTGCCAAGATCAGTAATTCAGGCAAGGATGTCTCCTCTCACACACTCCTTTTTAACATAATACTGAAAGTCCTTGCTAATGCCATAAGAAAAGGAAGTAAAAGGCACACAGATTTGGAAGGAAGAGATACTGACCAAAAACTCATGGAACTAGTAAGCATTTACAGCAAGGTTACAGGATAGAAGGTTAATATATAAAAGTCAATTGCTTTCCCATATACCACACTAATGAACAAATGGAATCAGAAATTAAAAAGTCATTACCATTTACATTAGAATCCCCCCAAATGAAATACTTAGGTAAATTTAACAAAATAGAAACAGGATCTATACAAGGAAAACTTCAAAACTCTGATGAAAGAAATCAAAGAAGTAAATAAATGGAAAGAGATTCTATGTTTAAGGATAAGACGACCCAATATTGTTGAGATGTCAGTACTTCCCACAGTTTGACCTATAGATTATATAATGCAAATCAAAATCCCAGCAAGTTATTTTGTGGGTATCAACAAAATGATTCTGAAATTTATATGGAGAGGAAAAAGACCCAGAATAGGCAACACAATATTGAAGGAAAAGAACAAAGTTGGAGGAATGACATTAACTGACTTTAAGACTTACTATAAACGTACAGTAATCAAAATAATATGGTATTAGTGAAAGAACAAATAGATCAAAGGAACAGAGCAGAGAGCCCTGAAATAGACCCACGTAAATGTAGCCAACTGATCTTTGACAAAGGAGCAAAGGCAACACAATGGAGAAAAAAATACTCTTTTCAATAAATGATACAGGAGCTGGACATTCACATGCAAAAAATAATAAATAAATCTAGACATAGACCTCACACTCTTCACAAAAATTAACTCAAGATGAATCAGACCTGAATGTAAAATGTGAAACTATAAAACTCCTAGAAGATAATGCATGAGAAAATACAGAGGACTTTGGATATAGCAGTGACTTTTTAAGGTACAATCCATGAAAAAAATAAGCTGAAGTTGATTAAAATTAAAAACTTTTGCTCCGAGAAAGACACTGACTAGAAAATCAGAAGACAAGCTGACTGGTTGAGAAAATATTTACAAAAGATATCTGATAAAGGACTGCAATCCAAAACATACAAAGAACTCTTAAAACTAGTATGGGAAAAAGATGTGAATAGACACCTCTCCATAGATCCAGAGATGTCAAGTAAGCATATGAAAAGACGCTCAATATGATATAAAGAACTGCAAATTAAAACAATGAGCTACTACTATACACCTCTTAGAATGGCCAAAATCCAAAACAATAACACCACCAAATGTTGGTACGAGTGTGAAGCACCAGGAACTCTCATTTATAAATGGTACAACCACTTTAGAAGACAGATTGGCAGTTTCTTATAAAAATAAACACACTCTTAACACATGATCCAGCAATCATGCTTTTTGGTATTTACTCAAATGTATTGAAAACTGTACCTACACAAAAACCTGCACGCAGATGTTTACAGCAGCTTCATTCGTAATTGCCAAACTGTGGATGCAACCAAGAAGTCCTTCAGTAGGTGAATGGATAAACTGTGGTACATTGAGACAATAGATTATTATTCAGTGCTAAAAAGAAATGAGCCGTGAAAAGACATGGAGGAACCTTAAATGCACATTACTAAGTGAAAGAAGCCCATCTGAAAAGCCTACATACTGTATGATCCCAACATATGACATTTTGGAAAAGGCTAAACTATGGAAACAGTGAAAAGATTAGTGGTTGCAAGGGGCGAGGGGGAGGAAGGGATAAACAGGCAGAGCAGGGGATTTTTATGAAAGTAAAAATGATTCTGTATGGTATCATAATGTTGGATACTATGTATTAAAAACCCAAAGAATGCACAAAACCAAAAATGACCCAACCTACACTACGGACTCTGGGTGAGAACCAGGTGTCAGTGAAGGCTCATTAACGGTAACAAATGAACCACTCTGGTGCAGGATGCCAGTAATGGGGGAGGCTATGTACGCATGGTGGGGGAAGAGGGGATGTGAGAACTCTCTGTGCTTTCCACTCAATTTTGCTGTGAACCTAAAATTGAACTAAAAAAATAAAGCTTATTTTTTAAAAAGAAAGAAAAACTAAATAAGCATTATCTTTGGGTAAAAAAAAAAAAAGTTTAAATTTTACACGACAGAATTGCCTAAAGAACAAGATTTGCACACAATATGAAATACTAGCCAAACTCTTATTAGAGCAAAAGTCAACAACTCATAATGGATATGATGATACATGGAGGCTCTTCATCCAGGTGTCTCTCTTAGAGCTGAAATCAGAGACATCATGGTCCCTCAATTCTCTTTCAAAAAAGGCAGGGATAAAAAATATCCAAGAAAAACTTAAGACCAATCACATGGTCTATGTAGGTAGTACAAAGGAGCTGGTTAACTTATTTTTGGAGAGTAGTTTAACTTTTAAAACTCAATTCTGATTATTCAACTGCAAAGAATTCAGATGAGGAGTAAGAGAGGAATATAAACCAACATGGACCCATAGAGAAACGTTGTAAAAGCTCAGATTTAATAAGAACAATGTTAGGAAAACTAGAGCAAAGAATGAGGAGAAGCTTGTGAAAAAAAAAATGCCATGCAAAACTAAAAAGGCAATTTGGTTAGGATGAAAAGAACAAAGAAAGTATTGCCTCTGCTCATAGCAAAGAATATATTGTACTTAACAGGCATTGCAATTTAACTTTGATTCCTTTTTGTCACTTCTCTGTCGGAGAAAGGAGAAAATACAAATATTCTGACTGAAATGAGAAGAAATTCTGGTGAGAAAAGACATCTACAAGGGTGAGAAAACTATGAGTGTCAAGTTCCTCTAAAAGGGCTCAGTTGTTTGGCTAAGACAGATTACATTCCAATGGGCATCTAATGTATACCACTGTTAGAAAGCATTGTGATCTCTAGACAATCAGGACAACAGAAGAAAAGAATAATGGTAGTCTATATTTTCAAAAATAGCCTGTATTTTCAAACATAGTCTATATTTTCAAAAATATTTTGAAATTACTGTGTATGATCTAATGCTGTGCGCCAAGATTACATATATTGTCTAATTTAATCAACATACTAATAATTCTAGTGTTAAATATCATCACTTAGTTTACACAAATCTGAAAACTTAGGCTTAGAGAATTAAACAGCTTCCTATATTGCAAGCAAGTAAGTAGAGAAGCAGGAATTCAAATCAAGAAATTCATGTTCTGAGATATTTTGCAGTAAATGAAAGTAGATTCTATGAATTCCAAGTAAATTAGCGTAACAAAACTCCTACATTTTAAAAAGCAAAAACATTATTCAAATGTTTTTGAATTATAAGTAAATCAGTGTAACAAATTCTAGATTTTAAAAAGCAAAAGCGTTGTGGGGAACATAGTATAACATACAGTCATTCAGTATCATTACAAAACACACAAATGCACACTGTCTTAAGAAATGTATTAATATAAAATTATAAATTTGAAGCCTAAGGAGCTTAAGGTTTCAAAACAAACTGGTTAAGAGATATACAATTTTTCAATTCTCAATTAAAAAAAAAAGACAATAAAAAAATACTAAAAAACCCCACAATGAGAAATCACTTCATACCTACTAGGATGATCATTATCCGAAACACAGAAAACAACTGCTAGCATGGATATGGAGAAATTGGAATACCTGTGCATTGTTGGTGGGAATATAAAGTGGTTCAGCCATAGTAAAAAATATGGCTGTTCTTCAAAAAATTAATAACAGAATTACCAAATAATCCAGTAACTTCACTTCTAAGTATATATCCAAAAGAACTGAAAGCAGGGTCTTGAAGATATATTTGTACACCCACATCCATAGCAGCATTATTCACAACAGCCAAAAAGTGGAAGCAACTCAAGTGTCCATCAATGGACAAATGGATAAACAAAATGTGGTGTACACACAGAATGAAATATTATTCAGCCTTAAAAAGAAATGAAATTCTGACATACCCTATTAACACAGATGAACCCTGAGGAGAGTGTGCTAAGTGAAATTTGCCAGTCACAAAAAGACAACTACTGTATGATTCCACTTATATGAGGTATATAAAGCAGTTGATATCAGAGATAGAAGAAAATGGTTGCCAAGGGTTAGGGGGAGGGTAAAAGAGGATGTTATTATTTAATGGATTTAAGTTTCAGTTTTATAAGGTGAAAAGAGTTACGGAGATAGATGGTCGTAACAGTCACACAAAATTATGAATGCATTAAATGCCACTTAACTGTATACTTAAAAATGGTTAAGATGAGAAATTTTATATTATGTATATTTTACCACACACAAAAAAACTGGGGGTAAAACCCTTATAATAAAGCTTTAGTAACCAAGAGTGTCAAGTCTAGATATATAGACCAATGAATAAAATAGAGAGTCCTGAAATAAACTCTCACATTTATAGTCAACTGATTTCTAGCAAAGATGCCAATTCAATGGAGAAATGATACTCTTTTCAACAAAAGGTGCTGGAACCAACTAGATTTCTACATGCAAAAAAATTAATTTAGACATTTGGCATACATATACTATACACAAACTTAACCCAAAAGAAATCATAGATCTAAATGTAAGAGTTAAAACTATACAACTTCTAGAAGGAAACAGAAGAATAGTTTCATGACCTGGGGGACAGACAAAAATTTCTTAGATGCACCACCAAAAGCATAATCCAGTAAAGAAAAACTGATAAACTGGACTTAAAAAAAATTTAAAGCTATTGTTCTTCAAAAGACTACAAGAGGAACATGAAAAGAAATCCACAGACTGAGAGAAAATATCTACAAATCATACAGCTGATAAAGGACTCACATCCAAAATACATAAAGACCTCTTACAACTCAATAAGACAACAAACAACCTAATGGGCAAAAGATTTAAAATAAGTATTTTACCAAAGAAAATACATAAACGGTTAATAGGTACATTTTATTTTTATAAATAGGTTTTTAAAATGTTCAATATTATTACTCATTTGGGAAATGCAAATTAAAACTATTATAAGCACTTCACACCCACCACAATGGCTATAATTAAAAAGAGACAATAACAATGTTAGGAGGATGTGAAGAAACTGGAACCTTCACTTTGTTGGTGAGAATGTAAAATGGTATTAACACTTTGGAGAAGTTTTGCAGTTTTTCTTAAATAGTTAAACTTACCACATAACTCAGCAATTCCACTCTTAGGTATCTACCCAAGAGAAATAAAAGTAATGTCCACACAAAGACATGTATGCAAATGTTCCTAAACCTTTAAACAATTCAAATGTCCATTAATTGGTGAATGGATAAACAAAATGTGATATATTCATACAATGGAATACTGTTTAGCAATAAAAAGGAATAAACTATTGGTACATGCTACAACTTGGATGAACCCTGAAACTATGCCGTATAAAATGTTCACAAAAGACAAATCTACAGATGCAGAAAACACAGAAGGTATGTGGAGCTGGGGATGGGAATGGGGATAGACTGGTAATACGCACAGGAGTCTTAAGTTATCAGAATGGTCTAAAACAAAATTATGGTGCAAAATTTTGTACATTTACCAAAATCGTTGAATCATAACACTAAAAAATAGGTAGATTTTATTTATTTTTTTATTTTTTATTTTTTTTGAGACAGAGTCTTGCTTTGTTGCCCAGGCTAGAGTGAGTGCCATGGCATCAGCCTAGCTCACAGCAACCTCACACTCCTAGACTCAAGCGATCCTGCTGCCTCAGCCTCCCGAGTAGCTGGGACTACAGGCCTGTGCCACCATGTCCGGCAAATTTTTTCTATATATATATTAGTTGGCCAATTAATTTCTTTCTATTTTGCTCTTGCTCAGGATGATTTCGAACTCCTGACCTTGAGCGATCCACCTGCCTCAGCCTCCCAAAGTGCTAGGATTACAGGCGTGAGCCACCGTGCCCGGCCCAAAAATAGGTAGATTTTATAGTATATAAATTATACCTCAATAAAGCTGTTTTTAAAGAAGTGGCCGAGAAGTTAAAAACAACAACATAAATATGAGTACTTCTCCTACCTCTGCTGGATATACTGGGCATAATCTGAGGAATCATATTATTGCTTGTATCCATAGGCTGGGAATTATCTTGACCCATTTGATCATCGGGAGGCATATAGGCAGGAGGAGGTGTGTCAGCTAAGAGGAAGAAAATGAAACGACTAAGTTAAAGTCTCAAAAGAATAGTTAAAATCTTCATCCTGCTCAAAGTTATTACTCTAAAACCATTAAAAGATTCTTAAGATTACCAGCAGGGTTCATTACATCAGACACACAAATGTAGGCTGTGATCCTAAGGCAAGGGAAAAGGAGAAAAGACGTCACACCTAGTAGCTACTAAAAATCTACTATAAGCCCATATTTATTTAGCCCAGATTCCAGGTAACCCAGAATACTAGAAATTCACTAAAATAGAATTCAAGGTCCAAAATTTTGTCTTTATTTGCACATGCTCCAAGAAACTAGAGTTATTGCAAATCAATTTGGAGGACAAAGATTATCTTAGTTTGAGTATACACATACTATAGAGATACTTATCAATTATCATGATCATCATATACTGTATATTGTCATTTAAAACTAGAAGATAAAATCATGCCCCTTCAAAATTTGCCATCAACACCAATACCAACTAATTACTTTGCAATATCCAAAAATGACCACTGTGTCCTATTAAAAAGGCTAGGTAATTCCCTTAGGAAACTGAATGTTAATCAGAAAAGCTTTTAAGTTCCAGCACTCATGGCTGAAAATTTTTGCAAAAGCTACTGCTATACTTGTCTCATTAACTATAAATATTGAATATAATTTGTCTTTCACATAAGAGTTCACCCAGAGGGCCTCCAACAATAACAACTGCTGATTCTCAGGGCTTTTTTCTTTTTCTATATCAATAAAATAAATTCTTACCTGGGAGCTGAAATGGACTTCCTGGTCCAGAACTTGCCGGGGAGTTGGGATATGTGCTACTGGCAGGGGAAGGTGGGTAGGGGCTGTTTGGAGATAAGGGGAAAGGAGTGTTGTTGGGCTGATGGAAAGAATCTGGAAATGTGGCATTCTGCGGCATGTGTGGTTCGTTGTGGCTCAGGTTCCTAAACTGAACCAGAAGGCTGTGTTGTGGATTGAATTCATTATGACGAGGCACTAATACTGGAGGTAAGACTGAAAGACAAAAATCAAAAGTTAATTGTCAAAAATGAGTAAGGCAAATGTCCCATCCACATTAAGGGGCTGGTAGAAAGGATTCATGTAAGACTGCAAACCTATTAAAATAACTTACGTTTAGGAAGGGCGGTTTTATAGAACTCTGAATCTACATTTACATAATAACAAAACCAAAAACTTTTCCAGCATTCAGGTACTCTGAAAGACAGAAAATCTAGAAAAGATACCACTCCTGCTCTATAGGAGATAAGACATATTAAAAAACAACCACAATGCAGAGAATTTAACACAACTGGGAGTTCAAAAAAAGTGGGCACTCCCAGGTAGCAAGGAATCAAACAAAATATTGTGGGAAGACAACACCTGACTGAACCTTACAGAACCAGAAAGATTTCACATCGGAGTGGCTAGGGGTGGGGAGAGGTAGAGGAGGGAGATGTCTCCAGATAGAGATGAGAAAGGCCAGTCAGTGGGCCCGAGTACTGAACAAGGAGTTGTGACTAGAGGGTGAAGCTGGGGTCTATTACATGAACATCCTGAAAACCTCTACATTTCCAATTTTGTACACTTTCACCTTTCTTAGTTTGAAATATCTCATATTTTATGTTCTTTAGTAAGGTTTTCCCTACTGAAAATAGTAACATTCCCTAGGTAGAGAAGTCTTCCGATCAAAATCAGTCTTCTAAATATGACCATAATGAAAATATATATGACAAAGTCAAAACATTTTAACAGATAAGTTTTTTAGAGATAAAGTTTAACCTCACTCAAATGTTCACTTTCTCTAAAGACCCAAATGATCACATTGCAATATCTGATTACCTTTCTTTTCCCTAAACTGAAACAAACCTGAGTCTTCAATTTAATAAAACAATTAATTTTGTTTATCATTTTCCTGCATTTGTCAATGTAATTTCACTTTAGAAAAATCTCACTTGGATTCTGATTATCATACACCATCAACAAAATCAGTTTGTTTTTAAGTTACCTAGGTCATACTTTACACCTCCCTGAAGCAGGGATGTATGTACACAACAAATCAGAGGCTCTATAAGTTAGTATTTGCACTGTTTTTTATTTCTTTTCATTCTACTGAATTAGAATTTTAAATATGTGGCTAACATCTGACCACAACTGTTTTGTTCTACTGTGTGTTAACAACTGCTGTTCTCCTTACAGAATGATGGGGCAGCTGCCCTTGGAGAGTAGGCTATCAGACAGCAAGAATTTATTTCTATGTTTAGCTGGCTAGTAATCTTAATGAAATAACCACGTAGGAATTCAGTCCCATAAGGATTTTTTTACTTATTTTTAGAGGCATAGCTAAAATTACTGGCTTATCTCTTATACATTATCTATGCACACAATTTTTAAAACATTATTTTACATTCATCCAAAATATGTGGACAGTTCAAAAAGACAGCTGCTGTAAGAGATCATAATAAAATAGCAATTTCTGCCCTCCTCCCATACTGATTCCATAGACAAATTTAAATTATTAGCCATTTTTTGTTTGAGGTTTTCTTGTTTTTGTTTCTAGACAGAGTCTTGCTCTGTTGTCCCAGGCAGAATACAGTAGTGTGATCATAGCTCACTGCAACCTCAAACTCCTGGGCTCAAGCAATCCTCCTGCCTCAGCCTCCCAAGTAACTTGGACTATAGGAACATGACACAATGCCTGGCTAATTTTTCTATTTTTAGTAGAGCTGGGGTCTCACTCTTGCTCAGGCTGGTTTCGAACTCCTGAGCTCAAGCGATCCTCCCGCCTCAGCCTCCCAGAGTGCTGGGATTATAGGCGTGAGCCATTGTGCCTGGCTTTAGTCATTTTTTATAACATTTACTTTGTATATTGCTAAATAATATAATTATATTGCCATTATTCATTTGTCAAGACATTATTTGTAGACTTGCTCTTATGGCAAATGAGGCAGCTTTTTAAAATTATTCTATCCCACTTCCATTCCCCACAATAAAGTTACATATAAAATTTTAGTTAAATAGATATCTAGTATTTATTATATATAAGATTATTCATCGCTGAGTCAACTGTATTGTGATTATATTTTTCCTTAAAAAATACTTTTATCAAAGTTAACTATTGCCTTGTTCCCCTCATTTGCTTGACTTTAAGTACACACCACTGATCTTTCCAGAATTCCAATAGATCTGTCAACTGCCTGTCAATACTATTTTTGGATGCCTCAAATCACCAAAAAATTTATTGACTCCATGTTTTCCCCTGGATCTTCCATTCCTTTGTTCCAACTATACTGTTTATTGTTTAAGTCTCCCACAACTCTGAAGTCCTCGGACCTCCCTTCCCTCCTCCTATTGGATCCCATTTCCTGGACCTCATCCGCTATTAGTGTCCTAAGAAAGATAAAGTTTTTTCATTTCTTGCATGTATGAAAATATCTTACTTTCTGTCTGCAAGCAGAATTCCAGATAACATCTTCCCTCTGAATTTTGAGGGCACTGCTTCATTTCCTTTTAGAATCCAGAATTGCATGGAGAAATCCAATTCCCTGATTTTTAATCCTTTGCATGTGTTAAGTTTTTTCTCTCTGGAAACTTTCAGAATTTTGTTTTGATTTACTAAAATTTCATCTGTGGGTCTTTTTCTATCCCTTGTTCTGATTACTCAGTCACTGGGCCCCCTCAATTTTCAGTTCTGGGAACTGTTCAAGTAGTATTTCTTTGAAAATTTTCTCTCTGCCATCTCTCCCTCTAGCTTTATTTACAGAATGTAGTGTTCTATTACAATTGATATTTAATTTGAAACTGAATCTGGAACAGTCCGTGTTTTAGCAAGTACTTTTCCATGCATTGACTCATCTAATCCTCGTAACAGCTCTATGAGGTTAAGTATTATTATTCCCTTTTTACAGATGAGGAAACTAAATCACAGAAAGGTTTGGTAACTTGCCACCCCGACAAGGGGGAATACACAAAATTCTGAGACTCACTCCCAGAAAGTATTGAGCTTAGGAGTTTTTCACACTACACTTTTCTATTAAATCCTCACATCTTTCTTCGTCAATTCCTTCAGGCTATAGCTCTCTTTGGACTCAGTAAGAAATTGAGAATCACCTCCTATCAACTGTCAACTATCACTCTGAAACTCTTTTGTTGAACTTTCCCTGACAGGACAATCACTGCTATCCTTTTCTCTAGTCTCCACCTTCAATGTTGTTTTAAGTCTTTTTACCACGCTGGGCTTAACATCATCTCCATGTGAAACCCAGTGGGGCAGACAGACTATGGTGGCTGCCAGGATTCCCACCCTGGGTATTCATGCCACTGGGTAATTCATCCCCCTCCTTTTGAGTATGATCTGCTGACTTGCTTCTAACCAACAAAATATGGCAAAGGTGACAGGAGGTATGTGATTATATTCCATAAGAATATAATCCCCTTGTTATAAGAAGACCCTCTCTTTCTACTGGCTTTGAAGAAGCTGCCATGAATGTGAACTGCCTCTGAGTAAGGTCATGTTGTAAGCAATTGAAGGCAATTTCCAGGTGACAGCACGCAAGAATGCAATAGCTTTCAAGGAACTGAATTCTGTCAATAATCACATAAGCTTGGAAGCAAATCCCTCCCAAACTGAACTTCTAGTAAGACCCCAGCCCTGAACAACACCTTGACTGCAGCCTTGCAAAGGACCCACGTTAAGTTATGACTAGATTCCTGACCCACAGAAACTATGAGGTAATAAATGCATGCTGTGTTAAGCCACTCAAGTTGTGGTAATCTGTCATGCAGCAATAGATAACTAATGCACCCAGCCAGTAAGTATCTAGGCTTAGACAATCCATTCATTGCAAATAAATTCAATAAAAAGTATTTATTGAGCCACACCTATTAAGTGCCAGATAACAATACTATTCTAGGCACTGGGATGCAGTACTGAGTGAAACAGATGATGGCCCTGCTCTTGTCAGTCAATAAACAAAATAAATATCTAACATAGAGCCGACTAGTGATGAGGGTATTTGAGCAAGGACTGAATGGAGTGAAAAAGGGTACCCCTTTCCTGGGGAGAGAGTAAGTAGAGCAAACAGCAAGACTTAAAGTCTGGATGCAGGAACATGGCAAGGCAAGGAACAAAGAAGTATGAGAGTAGGCCATGCAGAGCCTTGTAGAAATCTGTTCTAAGTGTGATGGAAAGCCTTTAAAATGTTTTCATTAGGGACTGACATGATTTATGATTTTTAAAAATTACTCTGGCTGCTGTGTAGAAAACACAATGGGCTGGGGAAAGATGACAGCCAGGGAGACCCATCAGGAGACTACTTAAGGTGAGAGATGATGATAGTCTGTCCTAAAGTAGTGGTGTTAGAGATAGTCAGAGATGATAGCACCAAGATATATTTTGAAGAGCAAACAGCATTTGCTTATAGCTCAAATACAGGACGTAAGAGGGGAGAATAAAAGATGACCTCTAAGTTTAGGGAGTTAACAGTGACATGAATGCTGGTGCCATTTACTTCAATAGAAAAAACTGGAGAAAAATATGATTTGGTGGGAAAGAAATCAAAAGTTATGCTTAGACAAATATTACATCTAATGTGCTTATTAGACATTCAAGTGGAGATGTCAAGTAGGCAACTAGATATACAAGTCTAAAACTCAAGGGAAAAGTTGACTCTGGAGTTCAAAATGTGAGCATAAGCTTACAGATGATTTTAAGACATGTGACAACATGAGAGCACATAAAGAAAAGAATATAGATGGAGAAAAGGTCCAAGTACTGAGTTCTATGTAAATAGGAGAATAAGCCAGCAAATGGATGGAGTAACAACAGCCAGTGAGGTAGAAGAAACAGGAAGAGAGTACACTGTCTTAGAAGCCAAATAGAGAAAAAGTTTTTTAGTGGGAAGGAAGATTAACTGTATCAAATGCTGCAGAGAAGGCAAGTAAGATAAAGACAGAGAAATGATCCCTTGAATCTATTAGAATGCAGTCACTAGTGATCTTCAAAAGTTAAATGGTAAGAAAGACTAACAACCAGAGAGGTGACAAGAATGAGAAATAAAAATATGGAGATAATAAAAATGGAGAATGCTATAAAAGGATCAGCACAAATAATGCAGTAGTAGATTGGAGGTGGGAGGATGTGAATGAGGAATTCCTTTGTAACTTTTATTTTAGGATGGGTAGTACCATGACATGCTTGTATACTGTCAGAAACAATCTGATAAAGAGTGAAAATATAATGCTAGAGAGAAGGATAATAATTGTAGGAACAAAGTCACTGAACAGACAAAAAGAAATTGACATAGTGCCTACATGGAGATTAGGTTTTAAATAAAACAGAGACAAGTCACCCACAGGAAAGGCAGAGTGGATATATGGGAGCTTACAGTGAACAATGAATTAGAATAAATCACTTAGGAATTGTATCACCTACATATGAAAAGATAAATTCAAAATCCAATATTCCTTCCAAGATTAGCATCTTTAAGAAGGAAATACAAAGCTAATATGGCCTTCTAATTACTAAATCAGTCCAGTCACATGTAAATCAGGAAGAGAGAATTTTTTTTTTTTTTTAATTCTTCTTAAGGGAGTAAAACCTACCTGGACTCTCCACTCTCTTATAGTGGTATGGGTTGATACAAACTTCTTTTTGCTTAGATCCAAAGGGAAATTCACAAATATCCAATGGCTTTAGCTCATGATGACTCTGCAAATCAGGCCAGCGCCAAACACGACAATAGATAACGTGGGGTAAGCCTTTTCTGTGAGAAACCTGCAGGCGTCCATCTAATGATCTGGGAATAGTGACACATTTGCTCGGCTGTCCTGGACTGCTCAAGGCTTTCTCCAGTTCCTCCATGGCACCCTTTTTCTTTTTTAGCTTTTTCACCAAAGCATCCACTGCCTTTTCTGCCCATTTCTCCTCCTCATCACCTTGTTTCCAGCCCAATAATCTCTTCACTGCTGGACTAGTAAAAGAAAACAAGCTGGCCATTGACGTCATTTGATAAAAATCTTCAGAGACCTTCCTGTAACTCAAAGTCAACGGCTACTGAAAGAACAGATCACAGGTGAAAAGTCATGTACAGGTTCTAAGCAGAAGTTCCAATTAAAAAGGGAGGAGTAACATCTATCTTCACAAGTGCCATATGCTTCTTTCATTGGTTCAAGTCCTGAAAGAAAAAGGGGGAAAGGAACCTAATTTAATTCAATTTACATACATTTAAAGCAATATAATTGAAATGTATATTATTTTTATATAACTGCAGAAAAACATTACAAAGTAAACAGAAAACAGAGAAATTTTCTCTAAAAGATCTGTGACCACTCACTTTTTCAAGACACTGGCAATGCCAATGCCAAACAATAACCAAGGCAAATCCAAGTTGCTCTACCTTATATGTATTATCCAAAAAAACAGCCTTTGGTCAGGTCATTAAGTCCTACAACGGTCTTCTAAGATTTGAATCTGAAGTACTTTTCTTCGCTAAAATCCATGTTACATGCTATGTCAGTTCTGAACATGGTATGTCCTGATCTGAATAAAAACCTTAGGAGAAATCTACCTCCTCCTTAAGGTCACTATTTGCTTTAAAATGTCTCACAGACTTGGAAAGTTTGGGCAAAGACCATGACACTATTCAAGTCACATTACCAAATGCAACCTGTATTAAAGGCTGTATAACATGTACCAAACCCTTGAATAAATCATAACACATGTAACTACCAGGATGTGTTTTTAAAACTAAGAATGCTGAATAAATTTAAATAGAATAAACTGACCCAACCCAGGTCAGTTAATAATTCCTATTGGCTTCTGTGATGTTTTAAACATATTAGTTAATGAACCTGCTCCAAGCAAACTACCATTCAGCACCATTAGGAAGCTCTAATGGTGCAGCTCATTCTGCACCATTAGGAAGCTCTTGGCAATCACAAGAGCAAGTGATGTGCGGTGGCACTCCACTAACAGTAGGTGAAATCCCCCTGTAATCACTACACAGCCAACTACACACAATAAGCACCTAGTGAAACAGTAGGAATAATGTTTAGAAAACGGAAGTCGGTAAGAAAAGATGCTTCCTTCCTTGTGCCTAAAATCACCAAAAACTGTTAAAGCTCAGCCTTTGACAAAGTCTAACAAATTCTAGTGTTAAGATTATTCTGGACTGGGGTGCATCTTCCCAGAAAATAACAGACATCCTCAGTTAAAACCCAGATGATAACATAAAGTAAACAAAGACAATAACATAAACATAAAATAAAACTGACTTAAACTCAAAAAATAATTACTGATTGCTTATGTGCTCTGTACTGTGAACAGCCATGATGGGGCTTAAAAAAAAAAAAGTTATACCAAATAAGTTTCATCTCAAGAATCAACAAATTCATTCATTCAAAATACACTTATTGAGAGCCTACTAAGTGCCAGGCACTGTTCTGAGTGCTGATCAACTACTAGTGGCTATCCAGTCTGCTATGCTGGAACCACGCAGTAAAGGGTGTCCAGAAGTGAATATACACTCACTATGTATGGACATGCCTTGTGCCTTGCCTTCCCTAACTCTGTGTATACAGGGTGATTTTTGCCAGGCAAGCAAAATTGCCTACATGAAACTAGAGAAATGTAACAAGATACTTAAAGCATATTTTGCAGTACCAGGTCACAGAGTGTTAGGTGTTACGTACTAAATTAATTGAAAGAAGGGCAGATCTAAGTTGTGGCAACATCAAGGACGCATGTAGGATAGGATCTCTCTGGACCAGAAAGTAAAACCATGGTTTGGATGTGTCAGATGAAATAGGAAATTTCAAAGGTACAGGGATACAAACAAAAAACTATACAGGCAGACATGAACAGAGCATTTCCTGCGACAGAGAGGAGATAGACCTGACTGATTTGAGATCTTAGCCATGAACACTGGAAATATAACAGGGGCTAGACGGGCAGTGTATGTCTGCAAGAAAGAGTATGTGTAAGAGCAATCAAGAGATATTGCTGGAAGAGGGAGGTGAAAAACAGAGGAGCTTGAAGATCAGAATTCAGAATACACATTTCATTCTAAATATAGCAGTGTATACAGAAACAATACAATTAATTGTGACAAAAGTGGCTTAAATTTGATATAACAGTGCTATGCAATCCTTAAAAAGAATAAGCTGGATACTATAACTTTGGGCAAGGTACTTTACCTCTGGGTCTGTTTCCTCCACCTATAAAATAGAAATAAGTTATTATATATAAATAATTTAGAACTGTGCAGGATGCACATAAAGTACTTAATAAATGTGAACTATTAATACTTAATCATTAAGTACTAGCCATATTATGTACTAATATGAAAAAAAGGAACGTTATTTGTATATGTAAACACAGAGAACAAGGACTGGAAGGCTACCTACTAAATTATCCATTTCACGTACCTCTAGGGAGAGGCATGGAATGGGAAAGATGCAGAAAAAAGGGGTCCTGCGTGGTTTGGTCTATATACTTCTGAATTGTTTTAACCTTTTAACAACGGAAATCTACTATAGCATTACTTGCATAATGCTAAAATAAAAGTAGATAATCTATTAAATAAAAATAAATTATGGTGAACAGAATGAAGTTAAGAGTGTGAGTACAAAAACCAAGTGAAACTAATACATGGTGTTAGAAGTCAGGATTGTGGTCACCCTTCAAAGAGAAGGGTAGGGGTACTAACTAGAAGGGAACCGGAGGGCTTCTGGCTCTGGGTGGTTACATGGGAGATTCCAGTTAATGAAAAACAGCTGGCTAGATGACGTATACACTTGTCTGTATGATTTTAAAATATTTTCTTGACATATAAAAAGTTTACAGTGGTCTCTTTTCCTCCCATTTTTTTTCTCCCTCATCAGTTCCTTTCTCACAGGTAATCTCTTTTGTATGGTCTTTTATATTCTTCCAGAGAAATTTTATAAGTGAACATGCAAATACAAAAAATATATTGTACTTTTTTACATAGGTAACTATTTATTTGTATACTTTTTTCAGTTGTATACTGAAAAAAAAGTACAGAAAAATGTATGCACAATACATCTTCGGATCTTTCTGTATCAATATAGAAAAAGCTTCTACATTCTTTTCTACTACACAGAATTCCAGTGTAAAAGTAGTATTAAAAGCAGGTCAAATCATGTCATTCGTTTCCTGCTCAAAAATCATCCAGTGGCTTCCCATTTCACTCAAAATCCAATGTACTTATTTGGATTTTATTTTATAGGATCTACATGATCTGGCCCTTTGGCTTCTCTTCCTAACCCATTTCTTAACCACTCTTCTAGCTAACTATGCACTTAACCATAGTTGATATCTTTTCCATTTCTCAAGTACACCAAGGTCATTTCTACCTCAAAGCCTATGAACTTGATGTTCCCTCCCCTGGAACTCCCTTCTCCCAGATCTTAACACAGCTTACTCTCTCAATTCACTCAGTTGCTCAAAGGTCCTCTGCTGAAAGAGGAGACCACTGACCACTTCATCTAAAACAATTTTCACTCCATTCCCACATCAATCTCTATCTCCTCACCCTGCTCAATTTTCTTTCATGGCATTTACGCTAACCTGACACTGTATTATAGGTTTTATTTATTTACTGTATGTTTTCTGCACTGAAATGTTAGTAAGTAGGTAGTCTCATCTTCCCTCTCAACTGCCAGATCCCCTGGACCTAGAATAGTGCCTATTTGTAAAATAAATAAGTGAAAAAAGCCACATTTGCAAAAATATACATAACCTTTTTAAGAATATCTGTATAAAATTCTTTAAAATATATTATTTATGGATATCTACAAATATGAGAAAATAAAAATATGTATGGAAATGATACACACCAACCTCAGGACACTAAATAATGGCTATCTCTAGTGAGCAGGGAAAGAAGGATGAAGAAAGGATTGAAAAAAACCTTAGCTGTGTGTTTTTTGATTTGAAGAAACAAGATTTGAAGCACATATGGCAAATTGTCTGTCAAGGTACACAGACATGTTATTTTCTGTACTTTTCTGTGTATTTAAATATTTCATAGCAAAAAAATTCACCATTTTTAATTTTTTAAGAGTAGTATATAAACAGAAGGGAGATCAGATTCTGTCCTTTACTAGGTAGGTATATGACCAAGACTAGGTATCACTCTTTCAAAGCCTGTAATTTTTCTTTACCAGAGATGATGGTCCCTAAGTCACTGAAATGTTTGAGTAATAAAATAATAATGTATATCTAACACATGCTATACAAACTAAAGAGTGCTATTCAAATAGCAATTATGATCATAAGAATTCAGAAAGAAGAGTCAAGACTTAAGAGACTGGCTAGATCTACTCCTATCTAACTTTACCCACCACCATACACACCTCTGGTCCAGCTGAAATCCCTGCACCTCTGTCCATCTGTGTCTTCCAAGAAAAATCTTAGTCTTCCTTAATGGTGACCTTAAATCCACCCCTTTTTGTGAAGACTTCCTTCACCACCCCTCTCTGAAGAACCTATGATCATGGATTATTTATCATAAAAACTAACTAATAAGACATTAATAAGAACATACCTTAACTTCCCAAATGTAGCACAAAATCCTTCCAAGAGGAAATCTTCAGCACCTGGTACTATTTCATACACAATACCACACACTATTAATGGTCATTGATTTCTCTATCAACGGTGCCTTGAAATTAGAGATAACTTCAAATTTTAAACCCACATGACTAAGATAATAAAAATTCCACTAACAGAATTCAGGACATTCAGAAGGTAGCTTTGACAATAGAGATGACTGTAAACTTCAAATTGGGAAAAGGTCATGACTTCCGGAGATACAAGTTTACTGAGGTAAAGATGAGAAACCGATATAAGATTTTCACAAACAGCTGAAACAATAAGAAAGAATAGGTTTTCAACAGAGTGAAAAGAACAGCAAGTAAACATCTCAATATTAGGAATGTTAGGAAAGAGGAGAAAGAATTACTGATAATGAATTGGTAAAAGGACAGTCTAAGAACTATAGACAATGGTACTGCAAAAGATTAAACATATGGGAGAGTTTAAAGAGAATGTGAACAAAGAAAAGGCCAGAGACTTTAGTGAATGGGGATGCCATTAGATAAACTTCAACAGATTAGCTTCAGAAAGAACAATAGGTGTCAGATTTAAAAACCT